TTTTGATGGCTATTACACTGAATCTGTAGATTGCTTTTGGCAAGATTGACATTTTTACTATGTTAATCCTACCTATCCAAGAGCATGGGCGATCTTTCCATTTTCTGGTATCATCTTTTAATTTCTTTCTTTAAAGACTCGAAGTTCTTATTATACAGGTCTTTCACTTGTTTGATTAATGTTACTATCACAGTTAAATAAGGATCAGGATAAACAAATAGGCCGAATAGATGTTTATTCAGGGAGAAATAACTTACAACCTAGACAGATGAACACCAGGAAATTTTACGGGATACTCTCCTGTCTGGTCCTGCCAAGAAGAGAGCTTTTCCCGGCTCTTCCTCCCACCTCCTTCCACAGGTCACTTCTGCCCATGGCTCCACCCCCCAATGGGCGTGGTCAGTGCCACAGAAAGACTATCTCACTACATGTTACCCCAAGATATTTTATGTTTGTGGCTATTGTAAAGGTGATGTTTCTCTGATTTCTTTCTCAGCCCCTTTATTGTCTATATAGTAGGGCTACTGATTTTTTTTTTTTTTTTTTTTTTTTTTTTTTTTTTTTTTTTAGTTAATCTTTTATCCTGCCACTTTGCTGAAGGTGTTTATCAGCTGTAGGAATTCCCTGGTTTTAGGGTCACTTATGTAAACTATCATATCATCAGCAAATTGTGAAAGGCTTACTTCTTCCTTTCCAATTTGTATCCCCTTGATCTCCTTTTGTTCCTTATTGCTATAGCTAGAGATTTGTCAGCATCTTGAGTGGTTTTTCTTTTTCAGTTTGTTTATATGGTGGATTACATTGATGGTTTTTTTATATGTTGAACCACCCCTGCATCACTGGAATGAAGCTTACTTGATCATGGTGGATAATGTCTTTGATGTGTTCTTGGATTTGTTTGTCTAGGCCCTCCCATCTCTAGGTTAAGGGAGTATCCCTCCATGGGGAATGTGTTCACAAAATCCTTTTGTGCACCAGGGATACATCCTGGTTCCACTGTCAGAGCTCCCTTTGACTGCCCAGGCCTTCTAACTGAGACTCTTATTCAGGGGTCTGAGTTCAGTACAAAGCTGGTTTCCCAGCTATCAGTCTGGGGGTCCATGAGATCCCCCTTGTTCAGGTCAGCTGCCTCTGTGGGTTTCTGTAGTTTGGTCTTGATCCCTTTTCTTATCATTCCTCCCTCTCTGCAACTGGATTCCAGGAGTTTGGCTCAGTGTTTAGCTGTGGGTGTCTGCTTCTGCTTCCATCAGCTACTAGATGAGGGCTCATGTTCCTTTTTTTGAGACTGGGTTACCTGATAATTCTAGTTTTTAACCATGGTTAATTTTACTTTTATCTCCCCCAAGATATCTCTTCCACATAAGGAGATGGCATAAGGAAATAATGTAAGATTGAAAAGTACCTACTTTGTCTTCATATTTCTATGTCAGGATTTTTGAACTTGGAGCTATATTGGAAGCTAACCCCAATCCCAACAGATTAAAAGTAGTTATGAACTATATAGGTCATGTCCCAGGCCAGTCCTTTCCTGCAATGCAAGACCTGTCTACTCCTGTGTCTAATAATCCTTCAATATTTTTTCTTTCTATCTTTACAATTTAAGGGTCTTAATCTAGTAATTTCCTGAATCCAAGCTACTATTTCTGTAGAGCCAAACACTTCATTCCCTCTAGTCTATTTTAATATCGAATTGGGGAGCTGTACATAAGGGACTAGTATTATCTGAGCTACCTTTTGGTTTTTAATGTAGTTGTATTGTTTCTTTTAATGACCTAATCATAATTTTTATTTTTATTCCTCTCTGGAAGTCTGAATCATCTCCAAATGACCAGGAACTGTACCCAGGAATCCTGAGTGACAAAGAGTGGCCACTCTTACCCCAGTACATACTAAAACATATTGCTAGGAACTTCTCTAGTACTCTCTCCACTCTTATTTTTAGATTTATTTATTTTATTTGTATGGGTATTTTATCTGCTTGTATGTATGTATACCATGTGTGTGCCTGATGCTCGAGGAGGCCAGAAGAGGGGGTCTTATCCTTTGGAACTGGAGTTATGATGGTTGTGAGCCACCATGTGGGTGCTGGGAACTGAACCCAGGTCCTCAGCAAGAGCAAAAATTATTCTGAATTTCTGAGCCATCTCTTCAGCCCCTCTTTCCACTCTTACAGGTGACTTCCAAAGAAGTCTTTTGACTCAAATCACTACCTATCATATCTAGCAATACACACTACCTGAGCAGTTAATATGCATAAAGAACTCCAGGACCGCCAGTTAGAATGAATATATTACATCTGTATGCATTTCCCCAATAATTTGGAATGATTCCTGCTGTTTGTCAGCACCTGGAAATTTTTACAAAACCCTGCCCTTGCTTGATTGATCCACCAGTGAGAATTTTAAGCCAACACTATTTTTTAGAGTTTTGTGCTATGGAATCCTGTCAAAGTAAACCAGATTATCAGCAAAGGCAAGTTAAAGTGATGATGCACTCTGTCATCAGGGGCATCTTTTCAGGCAATAAGATACCACATATACTATTAGACAGGACATGAGAACTCCTGCAACTGCAGCCTGTTGGGCTCTGACCTCCCCGGACCCATGTTTTAGATTTAGATTACCCAGTGAGAAAGTAGGAGCTGATGTCCTCAGACGCTTGCTAGCTGAGCCTCTCCAGCCTCCCACTTCTCCCATAATCCCCCACTCAGGCCAAGAACTACAGCTCTACTGTGTGGGCAGAAGTACCAGGCAATGACCCCAGTCTCTGGGTTTGCTTGAGTAAGCCATCACCTATGAGAGAACCAGTTTTAAAGACCGGTCTTTGTTCTTTTACAAGGTCAGAGCCATGCCTTTATGTGGTGGTCTCTTCAATCACCATGGCCCCAGGGTGCTGATCTGTGAGAGACAAGAAGGAAGTTCAGTTCTACACGATTCAGTAGCCAGTGTTAGTTCAAACTTCAAGAGTCTGACACGGAGCAGTTTGTTTGAGGTATATTTAAGTACAGCACAATCTTGGGGGGGGTAGGGTGTCTTGATATACACAGTCCCATGTACACAATAATGTATAAGTCATTACTACATCAAAACTCTTTGTAAATGTGACATCTTCCATAAAGATGGGTTCTACTGCTGGAGAGATGGCTTCTATAGATTGATTACATGTAACATCTTAAAGATCTGGTGTGTTCTCAGTCATACAGATAACATAAGGGTCACCAGGCTATTAACCACCTCTGCTGCCAACCTTCTGGGTGGGAAACAGATTATGTAGCTCTCCCTTTGAAGAGACAACCCTGCATGGTTGACATTCCTGGTTTCCCTGGTGGTTATCTGTGAGCATAAGAACCACTGTCCCTCCAACACCCACAACATCTACCTCACCCTCTTCAGGGCTTGGGGAACATGGTGGAAGAAGGAGCAGAAAGAATGTTTGAGCTGCAGGAAGGGATGGAACGTGGTGGAACAGCCATTGCCCAGTCATGACATGGCTACTGCACCCGTGAAATGAACACACAGTAATTGTTGCCTCAAAGACCTCACAAGATGGAGCCTGTCAAGATTCTGTTGTGGGGAGGGCTCGCAAAAGCCCATCCCTCTCTGAATGTTTCTGGGCAGTTGGTGATTGCTGGAGAGAAAGAGTCATTTTCTTCACTGGTGTAGCTATCAGTCAAACGTTCATGCTTCTGTAAAGAAACACCTCACCCAGGCTCCTGTAAGCAAGCCTATTTAAACTCAGTGACTTTCTCTGACATTCTCGTTCTCTCTCTTTCTATCTCTCTCTCTCTTTCTCCCTCTCTCTCTCTCACATGCGCGCACACACACACACTCAGGGGTGGGGGGTAAGAAGGCACTAGTTTTGAAGAAGAAAGGTATCAGCCAGAATGAGAGGGAGACTGAGGGATAATGAGATGAACATGATCAACATATACATATGTGTAAAATGGCATAATGAAACCCATTGTTATATGTAATTTACATATGCTAACAAGAAGGATTTTTTTTTTAAAAAAAAATGTCCGTACAAATAATGGTACTGCCTTCATTTGAAAAAACAAGTGGGTGTTTTTAACTTAAACTAACCAGGGATGGTAGGGGCCCACAGAGACTGACCCAGCAATCATGGAGCCTGCGTGGGTCTATACGAAGGTCTCTGCGTATATGTTATGGTTGTGTAGTTTGGTGTTCTGAGAAGGGATATCTCTGACCCTTTTGCCTATGCTTGGCACCCTTTTCCTCCTACTGGGTTGCTGCACATTAGCATCGCCTGGAATGTCTAACACACCCCAAAGCCCAGGGCCACTCCAGAGCAACTAGCCCAGTATTTCTAGGAATCAATCTTCTTTCAACATATTTCATTTTAAATGCCTCTGTCTGCCTGTCTTTCTGTCTGTGTGTGTGAGTGCATGTGCCTGAGGAAACCAGGGGTGTCCAACCCCCTGAAGCTAGCATTACAGGCAATTGTAAACCTCCTGACATGGTTACTTAGACCTGAACTTGGGTCTTCTACAAGACCAGTCCATGCGGTCAACCATTGAAATGTGTATCCAGCCCCAAGAATCCGTGGTCTTTGTCGTTGTTTTGTTCTGAAGACTCCTCCATAGGTAATTGTTTATAAATGAGGACACACATCTTTACATGAACAAAGTGGAAGTCATGATGTTAACCAAGAATTGATGCTTTAAAAATACAAACTTATGGTGCCGGCATGGAGGTGCACACCTTTAATTCCAGCACCTGGGAGGCAGAGACAGCAGATCTTTGTGAGTTTGAGGCCAGCCTGGTCTAGGTAATGAATTCCAGGACAGCCGGAGCTAAGCCCCTATCTCAAATAACAAGCCGCCTTCCTTGCTTGATACCAAGCGATCCTCCAATTCTATTTTCTCATAATGAAATTAAAATCTTCCGCTTTCTGAAGAGGGTGGGGCACAGGTGCCGCACCTCCAGAATACTGCTTGTTTAGTTATCAGTGTTTGGGGTGCCAATTAAATCGGACTCTGCTTTATTTCAGATATAAGCACAATTTATTTCTGGTTACATTTCATGTTACAAGCTTAACAGTTAGGACACCACCCTCTCAGCCCCTTCTGTCTGACAGGCCGCTGCAATACTCTGGAGCATTCGGGCTGAAACTCCCCAGTTACAGTACATTGTGAGTCATGAACCCCCATGAGGCTATGATCAAAATATGGACTTGCGCCCCTCAAGATGCATACGCACACATAAGCACACAAACTGCACACAGTTTTGAGGGGTTCAGGAATTCCGGGAAGCACACACAGCCTTGCGCTCTGACTGAAGACTCTACACCATGGCCTGCAGAGGGCAGCAGGGCAGCTGCAGGGCGCACTGAGAGCTGCAGTCAGGGAAGCTGGGGACGCTGTAGAATTTGATCAGCTTTTTGAAGGCGCTTTTCTTCATCATCATCATTTCTTCTGGAAACCTAGAAAAGAGTCTGGCCCGGAAGGAGCCCCCACTCTTCACTGATCCATCCCCAGGGAGTGACTTCTGAGCGCTCACCGGCACACTGTTGCAGCTGAGGGATCGCACTTTCTTCTTCTTGTTCCGTACCGACAAGTAACTGAACAGAAAAGATGACAGCTTGTGCTTCGTAGAATCTGGGGCCTCTTCGGAGAAGCAGTCATCAAGTGGATCCAGCAGGGTCTCAAGATCACAGGCACCTTCCCTACTCACCAGACTGGCCCCCAGCGGCTGGGGCTGTTTGATGATCTTCCGGGCCTGAGCCGGGTCATCTCCTCCCTTGTTGACAGAATCCGGGGATAGCCCACTGGGCAGGTCCCTGGAGCCTCTGGTGGGCAGGATGAGGTTCTTGGCCCTAGGGCTGGGCTGGGAAGTGCAGTGCTGGCTCAGAACGAGGGTGGCAGCATCTCGGATGAGGTGCCAATCTCTCAGGATATCCTCCTTGGTGGTAAACTGGGATGTCACCGTGAAACGGATGATCAGCTTGTCATGGATAGTGGCTGGGATAAGGAAGAGCTGGCCATCTTTGGCTATTTCCTTTAACACACTTTCTGTGAGACAATTGGGACCCTATGTGAAGAACAAAGAGAATGGGAGTCTACATCATGCCACAGAAGCCCAGCATTTACTGGTCTAAGAGACTCAATTCCCACTCAACTCTGAAATGGAAGTGCCCTTCTCAGGGAGCCATGGAAGAGGACCTTACCTTCAGACGGAAAACCACCAAACCAAGGTGCCTCTTAGCAGGGATTTCAAAGAAAGGGTCATTTCTGACCAGAGATTCAAAGTATTTAGCCATTTCTGTACCCTGGAATTGCAAACATAAGGAATTTGGTTAATAGGCCAAAACCAGACTGCTTCTACTTTGGTACTTACTGTTCAACAACTTAGACCAGTGACCTGTGTGGCCTCTGCCTGCCTGTTTTCTCCATGTGATCTCACCCATATTCAAGATGGAAAATCTCTACTGTTTCATTTTCTGTCATGTCACACCCACCCAGAGACCTTGTGTCACAAAGTCCTTTTCCGACTTCTTCCCAGAAATCAAAAGCTGTGTGCTTTATAACTCAGTAATCAGCCTCCTGTTCCAGTTTCTCAACTTCTCCTCTGGCCATGGGAGCCAGCAAAGGCCCACCTCAGCACCCAAAGGAAAGTACAGCAGACCGTAGGCTGAGCCATAGCCCTGCCTCAAGAGGCTCAACAGGGCCAGGTGTGGTGGCCCACCCCTTTAATCCCAGCACTCGGGAGGCAGAGTTAGTTCAAGGGCACACCGAGCTATATGAAATTGACCCAGTCTAAAAGAGATCTCAGCACTTGGGATCACAAGCCTTTAATCCCAACACTTGAGGTATAGAAGATAAGAACAGATATTCAATCTGGGGCATTTTGGTCTCCAGCCATGTTTGGGCAATTAGTCTCCAGCCACACTGAGAGCAGGATTGCTTCAGCCTGAATAGAGGTGAGAGCTACTGGCTTGGCTGCTTTGCTTATCTGACCATCAGCTTGAACCCCAATATCTATCTCTGGGTTTTTATTTTTGTGTTACAATGCTATAACAAATAAAGCTTGCCTGAAGATTGGAGTGCAGAGCTAAGCCGTTAGTTAGCCATAAAGGGCAAGCAATGATAGCGTACACCTTTAATCCCAGGACTCGGGAGATGGGGGCAGATGGATCTAGGTGAGTTCAAGGCCACCCTGGGCTACATGAGATTGAATCTGTCTGAAAGAGAAATAAAGCTCACACAAAGGTGATTCCAGCACGTGGGATCGCATGCTTTTAATTCCAGCACTAGGGAGGTGGAGACAGGACTGACTTTGGCTGGGTGGAGAGAGGAATAGAAGGTGGGAGCTCAGGGCAGTCTGGGGAGTCAGTCTGAGAGCAGTCTAAGGATTTGTAGGGACAGGATCACCCCTTTGGTCTGAGCTTTGGTAGAGGTAAGAACTCTAGTGTCTGGCCGCTCTGCTTCCCTGATCCTTCAGCTTTCACCCCCGATAGCGGACCCCAGTTAGAATCCCATGCAACAGTGTTAACTGCAGATGCCACCTGAATACGATGAGAACAACACTGCCAACCTGTGTGGGCACATCACTCCCCAGGGAGCCATGGCAGCCATAGGGTGGAACCCTCCTTTTTGAAATGATGTTTTATGAGGAACATCCAGATGCCCTGTGTTCACATAGTGTGAACATAGTAGTCAGTAGCTACAGCAGAAATGGTAAGAACCACAAAAAAGAAAAGAAAAGAAAAAATTCTGGCTGTTTACAAAAGTGTGCAGTCACCCAATCATTGTGAAATCCATTGGGCAAGTACTAACGAGGATCACAAGTTTGAGGCCAGCCTGGGCTACATTTTGCAGGTCCAAGAAGGCAAAAACAGAAAGATTAATCTGTCCAGGGCCAACAAAGAGTATAACTAAAATTCAGATCTCTAAAGCACTAGTCTAGATCACAGAGATGCAAAACTTGGCTTCATGTGAATTGGCTTCAAGAGTTCAGCACAGTTAAGGACAGCAAGAACTACAAATAAAGGGGGCCTATGACCAGAAAAGGTGCAATGAAGTCCTAGGACTTTCACTCTTGAGTGAGGGAATTACTGTCATGTGATCTGGGAAACCACCTCTAATAGAGGGAGAGGCTCTTTAAAGTGCTATGCAAGTGATGATTTAATCCCAAGTCACTTCAATAGCTCCTGCCAAAAGCTGCATTTTAACTCAGTGCTCACCACCCCAGGGCTTTGCTCCAGGTCCTTCAAATGTGTTTGACTGGGTGAAGCTGGGGAGGCAGAAGGGGAGTGCTCAGAGACACTTCTGGAGAAGGAGAACTTGACACCATTTGGAAAAAAGGGCAGGGGTGGGGCACAGCTGTAGGCTGGGGTGGGAGTTTGGATACCTGGGAAATGCTCAAGCTAAGGTGCGGGCTGATAATGAGAATAAAGCAGACCCAGGGTGTGGGCTGGTGTGGTAAAATAGTAGGGGAGTGACGGGAATCCAAGGGTGAGCCAAAGGCAGTTTTAGGGAAGGTTGCCCAGCTGCATACCCAATCCCAAACTTCAGGCAAAAGAAACTCCTGTTGCCTCCAATCCCACTACTACCCTCCAAGCATGAGTCTGAAGGCAGAGGAAGGGGCAGGAGGATGCTAGGTAGCAACTGCTCGTTGGCAGTCAGGGGACTGCCTTCACCATTTCATTTTGTTCTTGTTTATTGGGGAAATAAGGGATTTCCCTAGGAAAAAAAGGTGAAATGGCAAAGATAGACCCAGGGATTGGAAGAAAAATCGTCTTTGAGTTTCCTCTGCTGTTGAGAAATACTGGTGGCCTGAGTTCTCAGCTGAAGCACTGGAGTGCCCAAGTCACTTAATTCTGAGTCTCTTTACTACACAATAATTGTGTAGTAATTAAATTGAACTGGAAAAAATGTTCCACTAGGCCAGCAGTAAATACCTACTGCTGGGTGGGGTCATAAGGACTCTCTGCGACTAGGGAAAGCTAAGTTTCAGACATCGCTGTAATAGTGACCATAATTTTCAACCAGCTGTGACAATCGGGTTGTCTCCCCAGGAAAAGATATGGCCCTACTTGGAGCCTATCCACTGCTTTCGCTTTCTCTTTCTGCAAACCAGGCCTTCCTTTGAGCCTGTGTCCTCAATTCTCACAGACAGCAACAGAAAAGGTGAGACACTCAAGGAAGTGACAGAGCCAGGGATGCAAAAAACTCAAAGGAAGCTGTGCTTGGTGTTGACTGTTCAGAAGATAAACAACTCGAGCTACAAATCAGACTGGGATTACGCGCAGCTCAGCGCTCCTCTAGATAGCCAACAATCAAATCCCAGAAGCCCCTCTACAGGCCCTACCACCTGAGCCAGACACCAAGGATCCCCTGGGCAGATTTGTAAAACCAGAACAAGTCTTCCTTCCCATGAAAACGCAAAACAGCATGAGCTTAGTCCCATGGCCCTCACACAACATACGTGTCTGACATGTGCTTGAAGATTCTTCACCCCGAAGGACCGAATCACGAACCAGAGCTTAATGGAGCGAAAGCGCCGACTCAGGGGGATCTGCCAGTGCTAGAAACAAGTAACACAGAGCTCATGGTTAGAAGCAAGGTTCCCAGTCCCTTGGGTACTTTTAGCATTATGTGTTGCCTGCCCAGTCCTCCTGGGACCCAAGGTGTCACCATGACTCCCAAATCTGTCGCTAAGGAGCAAACCAAAACAAGTTATCCCGGTAGTACTCCAAAGATAGAGCGGGACAAATGGAAATCAATAAGCCTTTGACCTGGAACCGAGTGTGCCATCTCTCTTGAACTGCTGCTTTAGGTGTTTCGTTCCAGCCTAGAGACTCAAGGCAAGTTCCCTGACTAGCAGAAATTAAAGTTCTATGTCTGTTCTTCTCAATATGGATAGTAAGTGGCTTAAAGTAATTAAGAGCTCAGGCGCTGGGGCCCCAGAGACCTGGGCTACTCTCTAGCTCTGCCTGCTGCTTACACTGCTGACTGGCTATCTCACTGGCAAACCAACGGCATAGAACAAAAGGCGCTTCCAGGAAATGGTTCGGCAACAATGGAGGCAAAAACTCTGAGAAAATTGTACAGTCTGTGTAGGCTGTTTAGATGGGGAACATGTGAGTTACAAATCTGCATCCATCTGGTCTGGCATCTAGATGGTCCTCACTTAGCCTCCGCTTCTTCTGGCGCTTGCCTGTGAGATTCTGGTAGCTCCAGATGAGCATATGAACCTCTGCCTCAGGCTGAAACTGCTGTTTCTCTGGTACCAAACTCAACAGAGTTTAAAGTTCAAAGTAGCAGTTACCAGAGATCTGACAATTTTCCATCCAATATCGCAGATCAGAAAACAAAGCAAATGGTTCGGGAGACATTTGCAGTCATTCTAATGAGCAATGTGGCTTATCCTAAGCTCTCCTCAAACGTCAGAGAGCCTCCACCGCAACTTCTGCTCCCTAAAAAGAGCCACCCTGTTGAACATTCATCTGCCTGTCCCCATGGAGTTTTGCCAAGTCTTCACTGATGTACTCATCATCTTTATGGTTCACTCTAGTTTTCCAGGCCAGACACAGCTGGGATATCACCCCCATATCAAGGGTGATATATGCCCTTCAAGAAAGTACTAAATTCCCAGGCATAGTGACACACACCTTTAATCCCAGCACAGGAGAGGCAGAGGCAGGCAGATGATTGTGAGTTTGAGGCCAGACTGGTCTACATATCAAGTTCCAGGCAGTCGGGGCTACACAGAGACACAGAGAGACCCTTTCAAAAGAAAGAGAGAGGGGGTCAGAAAAGAAAGGAAGAAAGAAAGAAAGAGAGAGAGAGAGGGAGGGAGGGAGGGAGGGAGGGAGGGAGGGAGGGAGGGAGGGAGGGAGGAAGGAAGGAAGAAAGAAAGCTTTGATTTCCAAGAACAACTTTCCAGTGGAAGGCCAACTCAAGGATTTTGTCAGCCAGCAGAGGGCATCAAAACCTTAAGAAAGGACAAAATCCTTGCTGCAGCTGGCCCTACCCTCATCCTAGAGATACCCAGCAGGATAATGTGTGGGTGCTGTATCCTCCCTCTAAAACATGCCAGTTTCTAAATTATGGTAACCTAACCACCTTGTTTGACTGGAAAATTACTAGGGAGAGGTAGGGAACGTTTCAGTGTGGTCTCCTCACAATGTCCATTCCTGTTCTTACCATTCTGCTAAAACCAAACCATATGGACGCAGAGACTATCCTAGCCAGTTTCTACTGGGTTGGGAAGTTTGGGCTCATGAAGACTGACATGAAACTTTCTTAACTGGAGATGCCTCCCAGCATCCTCTGTGTGTCCTCAAAGCTTCATGGGTCTCCCTGTGTACTTTAACATACACTCAGACTGCTAGAATCACAAAAATTACAGCAGACCTCCAAGAACCTGGCAGGGGCCCAGTGGGTAGAGTGCCTGCTTAGTATGCGTGAGGTCCTGATTTGATCCCAGCACTGCATAAACTGGACATGATGGCATACCCCAGCACTTGGGAAGTGGAGTCAGGATCAGAACTCCCAAGTCCAACTAAACACCTAGAATCATAGACATCATTTCACTGGCAGGATTGACTGGCAGCTATAGCATTTAATTATTTTTTTAACTTATATTTTTGTAAGTCCCATCAGAAAGGGCAAGAGAGGACACCTATCTTTATTCTCCTGTAGAAGAAGGTCTAACACACACACACACACACACACACACACACACACACACACTGTAAGCTTACTACCTGCAACCCCAAAGCCTTCCTAACCCTTCTGTTCTGAAGGAACTGACTTCACAGAAGAATCTCCAGTGTGGTCAAGGGATAATGGTGCCTCTACTATAGAACTCAATAAAGGGAAAGGCACTTGGGCTGTCTAAGGAGAAAAACAAACCAGCTCTTCACCAAGGTCGCCAGGCCTCGCTGCCAGTGTGTCACTGTATCAATTCATTGAATTCTCACACTGAGCTTAGAAGGCAGAACTGCTCCTGTCTCCATTCATATAGACAGAAACCTAGATGGAGTACAAGCCATTTGCCCAGGGCCACTCAAGCCAGTCAGAGGAGAAGCATGCTTCAAGCACAGGCAATCTAACCTTAGTGCTCCTATGTTTGGCCATGTTGCAATAGCAAAGTCCTGCAACTTATGAAGAGACCATTCTGGAATTGTATGCATACTAATTATTGCCACTCAGACACTGTGAAGTCAGTGCCATGTTCCCAAGGCTCAAAGACATCCAGTAGTGTCCCAAATTGCTACTGATACACAGACTGCTAAGCCAAGCACACTCTGTTCTCCTTCCAGACCTTTCACTAGCCATGTGACATGCGGAATATTTTTTTTTTTTTACATCCCAGTCCCACCTAAAACAAGGGGCTCATCTTCAAACTGAAGAGTATGGTATGGGCTGAGAGCCTGAGCCTGGGAGAGGTGAGATGCAGGCAGCCTGGAAGGCAGGAGACGCATGGTCAATGTCAAGGACAGCAACATGAAAGCAACTTAACAAGGAGCCTCTTTCCCACCTGAGAAAATGGCCCACACTCTCCCACACAGTAAGCAAAACCAACCAAACAACCAAACAAACAAAAAAGGCTGTGGAATAGCCCTACTATACACTGTGAAGATGTGTTGCTCTCACTGGTTTAATAAAGAGCTAACTGACCAATAGCTAGGCAGGAAGAGGTTAGGTAGGAGAGCCAGACTGAGAGAAGAACACTGGGAAGAAGAAGGGCAGGGTAGCAAGTCAGATGCAGAGAAAGGAGGACATGCAGAAGTTGAGGTAACAAGCCATAGGCCAAGTGGCAGCATGTAAATTATTAAATACGGGTTAATTTAAGTTGTAGGAGCTAGTTAGTAACAAGCCTAAGATATCAGCCAAGCATGTATAATTAATAATAAGACTCTGTGTGGTTATTTGGGAGTTGGCTGATGGGACAGAAACTTTGATCAACAGGAGCTGATTTACCTGTAGCAAAGAGAACACTTACAGAAGGAAAACAAGCCCAAAACATTCAAGAATTGTGATTTTTCTTGGGTTTTGTTTTCGTTTTGCTTTGTTTCATTTTCTGTATTTCATTCGGTGTGCTTGTGTACAACTTGAAATCAAAGGTATTCAGTGGCAAACTATGTGATGAACTCATAGCTTGCTGCCTCTGAAGGGAGCAGCCATGCAAAACCTCAGGGGTCAGTCAATACTCCCCATCTTAGAAGCCACAGCCTGTCCATCCCTGGAAACTCACCATGAAGTCTGTGGCCACTCCAGAGTTGGCGTGTCTGAGGTAGACGGGGTTCACACTGAAGGTCTGCTGCAGCTTGTACTTGTCCTTGACCCTGTGGGTTTCCAAATAGGCATTAGTGGTGGCTGAGGTCTCTCTAAGGAAGCAAGGCATTTCCGCGTGCTCAGAGTGCAACTCACCAGAACCCAGTACAGTCAAAGTGTACCATCATCCACTTGGAAGGATTAAAGGTGAACGAGTCGGCATACTCAATACCCTCCAGGAATCCCCGGAGCTCAGGGCACAGAAAGGCTGTCCCAGCATAAGCAGCATCGACATGGAGCCATAGACCCTCACTGGCACCTGAGAAAGCAAGTGACATCTGCTAGAGGAGAGGCAAGAAAGAGCTACTACCAGCCAACCAAAAGGCATTGCTCACCTAACCAACGCCATGGCAGGCTGCCAAGAGAAGACCCGGAAAGGGATGATGTACCCTGCTAAAGGGGTCAGCAAAGGTGGTGGAGATGAGGTGACTGAGCATCGGTGTAAGGAGGTGGAGCTGAAGGAGGCATTGCTGCCTCCTTATTTTTATATAGATTTTGTCCTTTAAACAGAGCTTGCTTTGAATAGATTTCAACATTACAGGTGAGCGAACGTGAGACTCTTCCACAGTGTAAGATTCTTCCCCAGTTTAGATGTCCCATGTCCCCTAAAGGCTCATGTGTTAAAAGCTTGTTTCATGGGTGACTGGGGAGGGGGAGGACCTTTAACAGGTGGAGTCAATTGGGAGGTCACTGGGTATAGTTTGAAGAGGCAGTGGGTGGGATGCTGATCTCTCCCCTCTCTCCTTCCCTGATGTGTGACTGGTTGTGCTCCAACATACATCCACATTTGGTGCCTCACTCTGGGCCAATAGTGACAGGGCCAACTGACTGTGGACCAAAACTGTGGGCCAAAATAAACCCTTTCTCTTTATAATTTCATTATCTCAAATTTCATTATATATTTATAATTTTATTTTTATTGTTTTATTTTATTATTTTATTTTTATTTATTATTTTATTTTTATTATGTATCATTTTGTATAAAGTTATAATTTTATATAATATAACAATTAAATATCATTTCATTATTTATTACAGCAATGGAGATCTGACTGATGCTTCCTAGGACATAATGCAAAATATAGCATTTCTAGCTTTTATCTCAGCACTAGGAAAAACCCAGCGACTTTGACTTGCTGGGGAATAACTCTCATGACCTTTGATGATTTCCCTCCCTCCTTCATCACCAAATTGACCAATGAGAATAACTCGGTGGAGCTGGTTTCAGGTTCTTGTTGTAGCAAATATTTCAACTATTACCCCTTATCTTTCTAGCCAATAAGGGCGGATACTTACAGATGGGGCCCAGCTCTGACAGCCTGTCAAATGCACAGACCCCAGTGGTCCCTAAAGTTGCACAGACCTGGAGAGAGAGAAAAGGGTCTCATGACACACTGAGCCCGAACAAAGACTTTCTCCCTGGCATCAGCTGCCATCTGCATGCTCCCACCTACAACCTGTATAGTTCACACTTTACACAGCAACCTAGTCCACATCGTGCACATTTAAAATGAAAGTTTCACCAGGTGTGTTGGGACACACCTTTAATCCCAGCACTCAAGAGGCAGAGGCAGAGGCAGATATGTCTCTATGAGTTCAAAGCGAGCCTGGTCTAAATAGTAAGATCCTGCCTCGAAAGTTTCACTAAACAATATATACTCTAGGTGCATTGCAATTGGATATTTTCCATTTCTTTTTAGCACTGGCTACAAACCATAAATTTTATTTCATAACACAACATTAAATAACACCTCAAGCCAGGTATGATGGTACATGCCTTTAGTCCCAGCACTTGGGAGACAGGGGCCAGCCTAGTCTACAAGTGAGTTCTGGGATAGCCAGAGCTACACAAAGAAACTCTGTCTCAAAAAAGGAAGGAAGGAAGGAAGGAAGGAAGGAAGGAAGGAAGGAAGGAAGGAAGGAAGGAAGAACATCTCCTAATTTATAAAACACTAAATTTAAGGGGTTCTCTGCTTCTTTTTGCAGCACATTACTTTCCAGGATTCTGTCAAAATCCCTTACTTACTGACATCCACATTCTACCATACTGATCTTAAAGATACACTCTGACTTACAAAGACAGGCACCAAACCCTGCTTCTTGTCTTCCTCAATGGCTCTCTGAAGAGCTTCTCCTCGGAGTGAGAAGTTGTCATCCACAGGCAGAAATTTCATCTTCACGAGGGAAATCAAGCCAGCCTTCTCCACTGAGGAGTGAGCCTATGTGGGTTGTGGAAAACAGTCCACAAAAGGGCATGAGATTAGCATGACTAGGAATGGCAGAAGACGAGGACTGAAAGAATTGAATGTCCATGTTTGAAATCAGCATTCTTTATGGTTTCTGAACTCAACCCCCAGGCTTGAACTTCCCTGGAGCCCAGAATTCACAGGTATAGATGAAAACTACACAGGTACTAGGCATACCTGGTCAGAGGCATAGGCAACGAGACGAGCATTCAGAGAGGACTCATCAGCGTCGGGCTCTGACAGTTTCATTTCTAGGATTTTGTTCTTCCTTGCAGCCAGCAGGGCAATCAAGGTGGATTCACTGACAGTGCTCTGTAGTGGAGAGAGATTAGCAATTGTGTCAGCCTCTCTATGTCCAGTTCCCCAGGTTTGGTCCCATGTAGGGTGTGTGTGTGTGTGTGTGTGTGTGTGTGTGTGTGTGTGTGTGTGTGTGTTCTTTATTAGTAAAGAAGTGTTGACCTGGCAGTGGTGGTGCATGCCTTTAATCTCAGCACTCAGGAAGCAGAGGCAGGCGGATTTCTGTGAGTTCGAAGCCAGCCTGGTCTACAAGAGCTAGTTCCAGGACAGCTTCCAGCTTCCAAAGCCTCAGTGAAACCAAACCAAACCAAACAAACAAACAAACAAAACCAGTGGGATGCCCCTTCTCAAAAGGCCTCCTTCCTCCATGACTTACATGGCCATTCTACATTCTGAAAGTAAATTTGCACCAAGTACCATTATCTTTCAGAGTGACCACAGAAACAAGGAAAATATCGTTCCAGAAACAAGCAAGAGAATGGCCCATTTCTTATGGGTAGGTTGGTTTACCGTGTAAAATAAATGAAAAGTAAGAAAAACTAACTTGGGCCAGAAGTACATCTCCGTAGTAGAGGCCATGTTTAGCCTACACTTTGCCCTATGTTTGATCTCCAGGACAAATAGAATGACACAAAAAGAAAAAAAATGGGGAGAGAGAAGACAAGAAAATAGAGGAGGGAAGAGCTCCATTCTTTCCAGAATGGAAATGGAGCTTGATTCCACAAGGATGGAGAAAGCGCTGGTGATTTGGGTCCTGTTTTGTTTTCAATGGTTCTTGTCAACTTGGCTAACATTGGGCTAACATTGTCCCTCTGGAAAACTCATTTCTATCTACAAAATGAAGAGCATCCACATTAAAGAGATTGCCCCTTAAGACAGAGGAGGCTGGCTGATATTATTCTCCAGACATGATTGTGGGGGATCCGGTAATGATTGGATGCTGAACTCATCAGTTTCAAATGAGGGAATGGGTGATTAAGATGTGCAGTGACCATGGTAGAGGTGCAAGCTGCACTGACAGTGCAGGCTATGATGGTGATGACAGTTCTGACGTGGTGGCTTGAGACACACTCCAGGGGGAGCAGGATGGGAGAAGGATTCCCCTTTGCCTTTTGTGCTCTGCCCCAGGGTGAGAGAATGTTATCATCACAGGTACCTGCAAGATGCCTCCCCCCTGGCTGCTGGGATGGTGGTGTAAGAAATGCTCAGGGAGCCCCAGCATCTTCGCCAGCCAATCCATGACGCTCATCTCCAGCTCCGTGCATGCTGGACTGGAAGCCTGGAAGAAGGAAAGGAGTTTCATGTTCACTGACCCAGGGCACCAATGTGCCCCCACCAGCCCCAGAAATGCCAGCCAGAGTCTCAGCCTCAGTATCTATGGGAACTGAGGAAGGGTCAAGGCCAGGATATGTGGTATACACACATCCCTCTACCCATCCTATCCTCCTTTGTCAAAAAGGGAAGGAATGGAAGTTTTGGATCCATGCTGCCCTCAATGAGGGGGAATGACTGGCTTAAATCTGGCTCTCCAAGTCTCTAAAACACCCTGCTGATATTCTAAAACCCAAGGGAAAGTTTTTACTTAGAAACTTACTGTGTTCTCTCCCAAGATAACAGCCCTAGTTGGGCTCTCCCCAACTTCCGGTATGCTACAAAAGTTCAAGCGTAAGAGATAAGGATGGTCCAGAAGGCTTCTGTTCTGGCACCTCTCAGAGCTGAATAGAACTAAAGGGCGGTCCCACAGCATATCTCTAACTAAGAGCACAGGGGAAATTGTGACCCAACAGGAATCCAAGTGCCCTGTTAAGGTCACAAACTGTAGAAGTAACCAGATCTCAGTTCAAATCTCATCTGAGTCTGAATAAGCTCTGTGAATTTAGCAAGATAACTTACTAAAACCTCAATTTCCTCAACTACAAAATGGGGCCAGTACTCGTGATTCTATAGGATTAGATGAGATAATTTATATAAAGGCTAAATTTAAATAATGCAATCATTGTAATATCTAATGCTTTATTTTCAACTAATACCCCATTATTAATATTTCCTTAGATACACTCACCCCTTTCAGAGATAAAGAGCAGAATGCATCTGTCCCGAGATGGTACTCCCAGCTGTATCCCCAAATAGCAGCAGTTACAGCCATTTCTACTCACCCATGTGAATCCTAAGCAGTTAATAGCATCAGCCAGCATATCTCCTAGCAGGGATGGCCAAGAGGTAAGCGCCGGATAGTAGGCGTGCATGTGGGGGCTCTGCCAGTGTACTACCTAGAGACAGAGAACACACACACACCATGTTCACAGCTGGCACCAAATGACATGTACAGAAAGCTCACTCTTCCTCTGGAGAAGCTCTCTGGTAAGAAGAAACAAATCTAAAAATGGGGAGATGCTTTTCAGAGAGATAAGTAACACAGTCCATAAGAATCAGTGTTCATCGCTGTTCTCTCTCTCTCCACATATCTGGACTGAGCTAGCTCAGCATTCGAGGACTTTCTCAGAAAGGAACTGAAGACTGTTAGGGTGACATGGATGTGGGACTCACACGCACTGCCTGCCCCACGAAAATAAAAGCAAGCAGAAACCGTACAACGGAAGAGCTGACAGCTATTTCCTCTCAGTTCTTGCCAAAACTTCTATTGTTGCTGGGAGTTAGTCAGATTTGTTCTAAGCAGCCCTTGGCTTCCCTGTGGGGGTGGATACAGGAGAGGTAAGCCAGAGAAGAGAAGCTAGCCCAGGAGTATGGGAGGTAAACTCTAGGCTAACCGTGTGCCCACAGTCAGAGATAGCAGGAGCTGAACAGCTGGGGAGGGCCCAGCCTATAGGGGACCACACACTCGGTTGCTCACACTCAGTGACTATGCACACTTCTCTCCTGCTCCCACCCACGTTTGTCTCTGAGTGGGGCTGTCTCCCCTGCCTTCTCATGAAGACAGAGTCCTCCAAAACCCACTGATTCTTAGAAAACTACCGTGTGAACAAATTCTTGCACCCTTTGTAGTGCGCACACTGATACACACCATGGACACGGGAGAGTTAGAGTGAAGTCCAGGGGCATGGGATCCATCTTGCCCCCATCCAGCTCCTTGCTGATGCACTGTGAGGTCTGGGAACCTAAGCTCCAAAGCCCCATGTTTTCCTCAGTCAACTTTGAGATCTAGTTTTAATTTTTCTTAAAGGTGGTCTCAAAATACCTATACACCTTGGACCCTAATAAAACCAGGAGCCTCTCCTGTACCTCCCCATCATAAAATAAATCCCAGGACATTTAGATGAACATGAACAAGAAACTAGTCAGTTTTAAGGTGATACCATTTACAAGGAACTAACCACTAGGTAACAGACACACCATGAACCCTAACTTGACTCTCAGTCAGCAAATCTTTCCCTTCAATTCTCCACAAGCGGGAGACTAGTAGGCAGTTCCAATATCCTCCACCTTCCATGCTTTATCTTATTTATTGTATGTAATTCTCACATCATCCCCATGAGGTTCAAGCCTCATCCCTGATTTATTAATGTGAAATGGAGCTGGCAGAAGGCTGCCTGCTGCAGAATCCACCCAAACACACAAGCAGAGTGGCACCCTGCCTTCCCTCACTGGGTTTCTGTCAGTCGCTTTAATTCTTCCTTTTTAATTTTTAAATTGTGTTTGTATGTTTTTCTCTCTTTATCTGTCTGTGTATGTCTCTCTGTGTGTGTGTGTGTGTGTGTGTGTGTGTGTGTGCATGTGTGGTGTGTATCTGTGAGTGTGTGAGTGTGGTGTGTATGTGTGCATGTGTATCTGTGTTGTGTGTATGTGCATGTGTGGTGTGTATCTGTGTGGGTGGTGTGTGTGTGCGTGTGTAGTGTGTATTTGTGTGTGTGTATGTCTCTGTGTGTGTGTGTCTCTCTGTGTGTGTGTCTCTGTGTGTGTGTGTGTGTGTGTGTGTGTGTGTGTGTGTGTGTGTGACTATGGAGGTCTGAGGGAGTTAGTTCTTTTTTTCCACCATGTGGGTCCCAGAGATTGAAGGTGCTCAGGCTTGTCAGCAAGGTCCTTTCCCCACTAAGACACACACAGATCAGCACTGAATGCTTGCTTGCTTTCTCTTTCACTCTCACTTTCTTGTCAAGATTAGAATGAAAACAAAATGAAACCTTTTCCTCTCAGTGTCTAGGAAAAGACAGGAAGGAACAACCATACAGTTTTCAATAAGAATGCAAAGGGCCAGGTGCTTCCGACCGGCTCTTAGCCGGCTAGCACCGCTTGTTCTAACTGTGCTTAGAGACGAGACTTGGAAATAGGGAAGAGTTCACCCCCTGACGCTATCAAGATGCAGTTATCAGGTTCTTATAAAGTAATCAGATGAGATAAGCCAGAAAAGCCCTTATCAAAGCAGACAGACCTCCAGAAATAAGCCTCCTTGGCCACACCCCCCGGAAACTGTTTGCCTCCACTCATCAGCTAACAGTCTCACTCCTAGTGACAGTTAGTCCCTGGGGTGACAGCATCACAGAAAGAAACGGGTGAGATAATCTTATCGTGGGACTAGGCCTTTCGGGAAAGCTGCACTCACACTGACATTTTCCAAAGACCCCCTCAGAACAGACTTTTCTCCAAAGCTTTTGGGAGACCGATGGGAGCAAACCTCAAGTCAACAATGGGAGGAGCTTTTAGACACACACGGATCAGCACTGAATGCTCCAAGCACAGAGACTCTGGGTAGAGTAGGTTTGTGGAATGAGTGTTGCAGGGGCCAGGCCAAATTTGAGGGACCCTGTCATTTGCCATAGAGTATGGGGAGAAAACAAAGGGTTAGATGACTCACGCTGAAATCCTGGATCTGCAGCACAGGACCTGAAGCAAAATACTAAACTTCCCTGAACCCCAGTTCCCTTGTCTGTCAAATGGGTCATTAGGAGGATTAAATGAAACAACTCATCACAGGCTAGTGTATCACCAGTGTAGGACAGGGAAGGGACCTGGGATAATATTAGCAGGGGCACCTCAGCAGAAGTACTCATTCCTGGTGACTAGGCAGTGAGTTCCAGCTCGTCTCATGCATCAGCCAGATGCCATCTGGTACCTGCCCAAGCCACCATCACTGAAGGCTGCTCCCTCCTCCATCATGGGGCATATTAGTAATTCCAGACAGCTCTTTCCCGTCCCTAAGAAGCACGTCAAGCGCCAGACCTCCCCGGTGAGGATGACACAAAGGAAGGAGCAGCTGATGGGGCTCGCAGCTGCCTTCCCACCTGCCTGCTAGGCTGGCTGTTCCCTGGGGTCTGGTATTCTCGGTGCATTCCACCCATTTGGTAAGATTTCAGAAACTTGCATAGGCGCGTCCTTGGCCCTGTCTACTGGGATACAGGCACCATCCCTGGCCTCTACTTCCCTTCCTTGCTCCACCCTTGTCCCTTTTCTTCAAACCAGTCTTCATGTCCCCATCCATCTCATTAGCTAGCCACACTTCTCCCCCCTACACACACACACACACACACACACACACGCGCGCGCGCGCGCGCGCACGCACGCACACACGCACGCACGCACACACCATCACTATAGGCCAGCACTGACATGAGAAACATACTTCCAGGCATTCTTAGAAGATGGGCTGTGATGTTGGGTGACAAGTACATGAGGGATGTGTTGTCCTGCCACACTGACTCAAGTGAGGATTTCTTAGGATACCATTCATCCCTGTGTACCCTGAGGTCTGGAACCATCCCTGCAAGTAGTTACTATATCTCACCCCAGGCATGATGATCCGCTCAATGTCCCCAAAGATGCTGTCCCAGCTCTCGGGTTCCTCTGGAGCACTCACAGGTAGCTGGGCTCGCAGGTACCCAGGCTGCACATCTGGAGTCACCTGCCTCTCCCGCACAGTGCTCAGGTACTGGCAGATATAATCCACCATCTCTTTCCCTGGATGGAAGCAGAGGGACCAGGTCACATTTCCTTGGCCTATTCATGCCTGTCCCTCTTGCCCCAGTCAAAAGATTTGATGAAAGGAGAGGTTCTTGAGCTAGATAGACCTGATCCCCAACAGGACAAGGAACTGTGAGAAAACAGATGAACAAGGAGGGAAATCTGCAAAGCATAAAACTTTAGTACCAAAGTGAAACATTTCTTTTCTTTTCCCGTCTTTGCTGGTAGGGTCTACTCTCCCATTGTTTTCTTCCCAGAAACAGAAAGCTTTGATTCATTACCTTAAAGAATCACACAGAGACTTGGTAGGTTTTAGAACCCCAATCTGGTTATACATTCACACACACACACACACACACGTCATATACAGTTTCTGAGGTACATGAAACATACCGAGAGCACACCAGGGGCCAACCTAGCCCCCAGAGATGTGTGGCCCACAGCTCCCTGACGCTGTTCCTCGGGGCTCTTAGCATGCCTTTCATGATCAAATAAATGCCCTGAATGATTGAAGACTAGATTTAAGGGAAGTTACTCTTTCTTCCTTCATTTCTTAAGGGGCCTCAGTCTTCTGAGGCATGCTCTCACATACTCGCTTCCCCCCCACCTTGTGCTGTGCTTCTACTGTGAACAACCAGAAACCCTCCCTAAGCTCCCCTCCTCTCCTTCCCACAAAGGAGAAAAGGAGCAGAGACAAAAAGGAGCCTGACTAGTCTCCCTATGTCAGCTCATGTGAAGTTCCCACACACAGAACCTGGCCTAGACAAAACTGAGGAGTCGGGGGCCTTGACTCCTTCAGCCCTCTGCAGCCTTGGGAAGCAGACATAGAGCTGTCATCATCCGTGGATAGCCCCAAAGGAATGTGTGCTCCACAGCAGGGTAAGGCGCCTGGCTCGCTCACTGTCAGTTAAGTGCACTGTTGAAAGGCAGTGTGAGACTAATGCACTGCCTGCAGAGGTAGATAGCCACTTGTGGCTAGGGGAGAAGAGAGGAATGGTTAGATTTAAAACAGGATATCTATCGCCTTACAGTCAAGAAATTTTAGGCAATCTGCCCCAGTAGTGGAGAAGAGAATATTACAAAATTATAGATACTCAAAATTCTCTTTCATCACATAGACTTTTTAGAGAAACTTTAAGTTGATGTGCACTAAATGGAAGAAACAGGACCAAAGTCATCATAGGCACAAGTGGATTTGCTGAAGGTATCATCCTAAAAATTCACTTTAAGCAATTACCCACTTCCCCTCTGCGGACAGCCGGGCCTGAAAACAGGGTAACTGTCTGGTTTTGCTTTTTCAAGAAAGCCTGTACACAGGTGGGCACTTGGAGAATACTTAGGGAGTGAACACAAAAAGAAGAATAAACTACTTCATACAGAGAAATGAACATTAGGAGAGTTTGTGCTATTAAATATTTGGGGCTTTTTTTTCTCTTTCATAAGATACTTGAGTGGATCACAAGCGCAAATAGTCTGTTTTATGGAGAGGTTGAAAGGAAACGAAATGTAAGACACAGGCAGCGTATGTGAAAGTGGGTACATGAGAGACAGAGTGAGGGAACCACTTGAAACTCTGGTCCTCATCCCATTCAGGAGAAGCAGTGCTGCAGCCAGCCCTCCCAAGGCAAATCCAACATCCCCCTGTCCCCAGCAGCAGTTCTGCGGCCTCACCACCAGGGAAGACCCACAGGGCACCCCTCACTCACCTCTAGCTCGGTATTCATGGGGCTCCATCATCTATCTCCCTTGGCTTGCTCCTCCCAGCAGACAGACTGAGGAGACTGTGGAAGGCAGCTCTCAGAGTGGCTTATTTCCTACTCCTCTGTGCTGTGCACTCCCTGGCAGCCTGCACACCTCTTATTTAAAGAGCTCTCCATTCCCCTACCTTAGCCCCGCCCCATAAAGTCCCTTCCTGCAGGCTTAATTTCAGCCTCTCTTTTCCCACTCCTTGATTGTAGATATGAAGCAGAAAAGTATTAGTCAGATGATAAAGAAGTGAGTGAGTTAACCTCCGAGTAAAAGTGCATATAACTGTAAATGTGAAACAGAGAACTGTTAACCAGATTAGATAAAGAAGTGAGTGAGTTAACCTTGAGGGTAAGGATCCTTCCCCCTTGCAGAAGTCACTGCTGCCACAGCTATCTCAGAGCTACACCTGGGGTTGGGGAAGAGAAGGTGCAGCCCCGCATACTCACAAGGTCAGCAAGACCTGTGGGTGCCAAGAGCTCAGAGTGGTTGTTGACTTTTCAAGCAGCTGTAGTCACAGATGAGCCAAAGGCAAGATAAATCCAGGCCTAGCCTAGAAGCAGACAGCCTTGAGAGCTTCTACCATGGGTGATGACCAGTCAGGTGTGTGGAAAAATTAATACAGCCTGTCAGAAACTGTTTGAAGACCTTATATGAAAAAAGATAGCATAGATAGATTTGGATTTGTTCAGATTTTGGATGTGCATATTTCAAGGGTTAGCTATAGTTGCTGTATTACAAGAGATTTCAATTAAGGATGTTTTATTTCAACAAATTGCCTAGGGAAAAGGAGGCTGAAAGATGTATGTATGTATGTATGTATGTATGTATGTATCCGTATGTTCTGTATGTATGGTATGGCCACACACGTGTGTGAAGTGTGATTGTGAATGTGTGGATCCTAACAAAAGGACCTACTTGAATTGCTTGGGATATAGTCAAAAAGGACATCAATCATGTCAGTGTCCTAACTGGAAGGGTTGGTGATCTGCGTCTCCCTCGGCTGGCCCCCAGAGCGGGTTAGCGGGACATAGCTAATAGAGCAATGTTGTGCCAGAAGTTTGTGGCTCAAGCTATACAAGTTATTAGGGATGAACTTTCACAGGTCTATATTGTTCATTATATGGATGATATTTTGCTTGCTCATAAGAGTAAAGAGGTTTTGCTTGCATCATATGGACAGCTGCAGCAGAACCTTACCAGAGCAGGATTAGCATTGCCCCTGAGAAAGTGCAGACAACCGCCTTTTCCCAGTATTTGGGACATATGTTATATCCTAAGAAATTAAGCCTCAAAAATTAGAAATTAAAAAACATAGCTTGTGATTGTTAAATGATGTTCAGACGTTATTGGGAAATATTCAATAATTATGTCCTTTTTAAAAAGGATTTGAAACCTTTAAGCAATATTCTGAAAAGACAGCTAGACAGCTAACTAAAGAGGGTAGACAAGTTCTCTTACAATCGGAGAGTGCAATCTAGCATCAGCAGATATGATATATTTAATATTCAAAACCATGAGAGGATTATGTGCTTCCCACACAGCATAGTCCAACTTCTGTCTTATAGCAAGGAGGACCATTGTTATGGTTGCACTTTCCTGTTTCCCCAGCCAAAGTGTTAACCTTATTTTGAAGCAGTAGCTTATATGGTACAGAAATGCCATATGGAGTTTAGGACATATTTTGGCAGGGAACCAAGCATAATACATGTTGCTTATACCAAACAGCAAGTTGACTGGTTATTTCAAAACAGTGATTCCTGGGCAATTGCTTTTGCTCAGTTTTGGGGAACAATTGGTAATCAGTTTCCAGCTCATAGACTATTGCAAGTTGCACCAATGCATCTTTTTATATTCCCTAAAATTGTAAGAACTAATCCTGTAAAAAAAAAAATGCTATTTTGGTTTTAACTGGTGTTTCTTCTAATGGGAGAACAGCTTATGTTATTGATGGTGAAGAATATGTAATACAGACAGCTCCAGCTTCAGCTCAGATAGTTGAGTTGGCTCAGAGGTACATGGCATTGAGCTGTGCACCACTCCCCTTACATAATTTGTTATAGAGGTTGATGACAGGTAAGATCTTTATGCCTCTAGGCAACCTAAGACAGGTTACACATGATGGAAAGTGTGGTCTGAGAACATAAATACTGGCAGATTAAAGGAGGCGACCTCAGACAGGTACAATCATCTGTCCTGTTGCAGAGGCACAGGTATTATTTTATGAATTTAAGAAGGGGGAATTGTCTGGACCCGTATATTGGGAATCCATTCCATCTTGTCATGAGTTCAGAGAGCTCAAATCGCTCCTAATGTCTCTAAGACATTAGCTTAACAGCTACAGGATGCCAGGCCTTCGATGGTGAATGGTTTCTATCAAAATAACAGTAGACTTGGGCCCAGACAGTTTTACACTCACCCTGAAGGCTAGGTGATACATGCAGCTATGGAGTGCCTATGGAGTGCCTGAGGGTGAAGTGTGTACACGTGCAGCTATGGAGTGTCTTTAGGACTAAGGGAAGTCCTGTGTCAGATGAAAACCTTTCTGGTGATGACGGTTATCTGGAGCTCTCCTCTTCCTGAGGCAAGCATTTTCCTGACAGAGGTTTCTTCCTGAATGTCTTCTATGACAGGGCATCTTTTAAAATATACTCCTATGCCCCTGGCTTCTCAGAATAGCACAAAGGAAGCCTATTAGGGTCAGCAAATTCTCTTCTCCTGAAATCACTTTCTGGGTGGTGTGTTTGTGCTGAACCCCAAAACTGACACAAAGCATCAAAAATCCTTGGAGCTTCCCAAATACCAGGAATTTTTTGTTCCTCATATTGAGGACCTTTTGTTCCTCAGAGGCTCTGGCCTAAAGATGTTTGAACCCAAGAGTTTAAGCCCAACTTGAGCAAAACAGTGAGTCTCTGTCTAAAACATCATCTGTAGCTATAACAACAGAATTCACAGGGTTTTCAGAGAGAAGAGCAGAAAGAGCTGGAGCTTAAACTAGGGGTGCCACTGAGTTGCACCCCAAGTGGCAGATCATTTATCTAGCATGCACAAGACCCTGAGTTTGATCCCCAGTTCCCACTTCCCCTTTAAAAAAAAAAAAGCCAGGCATTTAATCCCAGCACTTGGGAGGCAGGGGCAGGCAGATCTCTGTGAGTTCAAGGCCAGCCTAGTCAACAGAACAAGTTCCAGGACAGGCTCCAAAGCAATAGAGAGAAACCCTGTCTCAAAAAACAAACAAATAAAGAGTACCTCTTGAAACAAGAGATTTGAAGAATTTGGAGTCACTGAGCACATGGGAATAACACCCAGGGAAGGCAGTTCCACACCCGATTGTCACTCTTCATTCAGCTGTTGACTGTACCCTGCGTCATACCCTCATGACCAATGGGAAGTATGTTTGCTAGAGTTCTATGGACCATTCCAGCAAATTAGTGAAACCCAAGAAGGACATGGGAATCCTGTCTATAGTATGTAGGTGATGGAAGATGTCATTCTGTAAATATGTTTCTGTTATTGGTTAATGAATAAAACACTGTTGGCCATTAGGAAAGCAAGATAGGCAGGACTAGGAGACAAGGAAGATTTGGGGATAGGCAGTAGAAGATTCAACATATAGGACCGAGAGAGCAAACTCCAAGACCACGTGGAAATACTTATATTAATAGAAGTGGGTTAATATTTAAGACAGAGCTAGCCAATAAGAAGCACTAGTAACTGGCCAACAGTAACTAGTAACTGGCTTTATATCTAATACAGTGTCTATATGTGTTATTTGGGGATGGTGCAGCTGTGGGACCATGCCGGTGGGAAAACATGCTCATAAAATGTAGGTCACACATAGAAGTAGCAAACTCCTTACTGGCAACCTGTGTCTGAAGTTGGAGCAGACCAAATGATCGAATTAACAAAGTTAAGAACCATACAAAATTACTCTTTATTTCTGAAAACCAATAATGCAAAGTTGTAAACAGAGAATATAGCATAGCTCATGGTAAGGTACTTGCCGAGCAACACACCACAGCATAAATAAATCAGTACATACCTGAGAGACTGAAACACCTCAACCTCAGGCTAATGGTTGACAGTGGTTGCCTCTTAGGAGACTGGGAGGAAATGGGAATAGGGAGAGGACAAAGAGATAACAGCCACATCAGTAGAATCCACTTCTTAAAGGAATGGAAACAGACAGGGAAAATCTAAGATTCATCAGATTTGGGTAAGACCTTTGGTTTAGTTTCTTCTGTGTGGTTTGAAGTTTTCAACAAAGCAAAACAGGAAATTGATGTTAAGTTTATTCCTAGAAAGGTAATAAACATAGTGCATACCGTGTCCGTGTGATGTTTGTTAATTTCTTTGTGGCCACCTACCCCATTTTAAGAAATGGTTCCAGGGTGTTGGCAGCTGTGCCGCCATCTTAGGGGTCTGCTTTGTAACCTAACATTGAGGAGCTTTAGAGAGAGAAAGCCCAAAGTACGACAGAAGCATACTTAGACTCTGGCCACCATCAGAGAAGCCAGAAGGCTGGCAGTGGTAGCACATGCCTTTCATCCCAAGACTCAGGAGGCAGAAGCAGAAAGATTATCTGTGAGTTAGAGGACAGCCTGGTCTACATAGTGAGTTCCAGGACAGCCAGGGCTACATAAAGAAACCCTGCCTCAAAAAGCAAAAGGAAAGAAAGCAAAAGAAAAAGGCAGAAAAGGAGAAAAAGTAAAAGCTATGGTTTTCTGAGCTGGACTCATGGCATGTGGTTTATCTCCACCTAGAAGCAGAGTCCACTCCTGGCTAGGAATCAACTGCCTCCTATTACTCTAACACTGAAACACTGGGTAAAAATGTTTGGAAATAAAGGCAGTTCACAGGAAGACTAAGGATTTTTTTTTTCTTTTTAATGAGACTATAGTTTCACTCGAGTGTGGCTTTCTTAAAAGAGAGTATTTTCTTACAAAATGGAGTACTACTCAGTGGTAAGAAATAATGGCATCCTAAAATTCACAGGCAAATGGACAGAACTAGAAAAAACATCCTAAGTGAGATAACCCAAAACCAGAAAGACAAATACAGTATGT